GACTTCGTCCAGGCTTGTTTTTCGTGCCTCGCGCCGCCGTGCATTATTTAGCACTTATTCATCATTAATCACGCTCAGCTCGGGGCGGACGCAAGTGAGCAAACAGAATCGAAGCACGGAGGACACAGAGCACGCGAAAATAATATCAATTCACATGCACACAAAACCCACACACAGAGATCTATCACATTCGTGTAAATCCCCCGCATGACGAATCCGGTATTCTATTATGAGTTGTGTGTTGTTTCGACCGCGGTCCGTTTTTGGCATTTTTAGTGCCTGTGCCTTGAAGGATTTACGCGGTTTAGGCAACGCACGAATTATGAACCGCCCACGTTTCTTGTCTCGGGGTGTATGCTCGTAAATTTTTGTTCTTTACGAGGCGAAATAAAGAAACTTTACGCGGATGAGAAGAATTTTTTTGTTTCTTTTTTTTCTCTGCCGGCGTGATGAGGTGAGCTGCCGCAATTTAACGCAAAGTGAAAACCGGTGAGAAATGCAGGAATGTTCGCACAAGTAAGCTTATTACTTCATTTGTGGGGCGCGAGCGAAATTCAAATTAAACTTACGGCGTAGAATGCAGAAACTCAGATTATTTAACTACGCCCGTAACAAGGAATTTTTACGTTGTTTTAATAGAAAAAATATATATAAAGTTTATCTAGAATAATAGAAAATATATTATGTTGAATTAATTTGACCCAGTATAAAATTACAACTGTTGAAACCAGGGAAAAAAATCCTTTCAATGAGTAAAATTAATTTATCTTTCATACAATAGAAAAGACTGTCTCGCTGGCTGAATGTGTTTGCTTAGCATCCGGCAACTTCAACGTATTCAACACATTAACCACATTCGCCTACATTCACTACATTCATTTCCTCTGGCGTTGAATTGCCGGTGAAGCCTGCGAGCGTTAAGTGTGTAACAAATACATTACGTCCTAGTTTTATTCGTAACGAGCGACGCGCTCCTACAAATCGTACAACTTGCTTTCGGGGCTAAGATGCAAAACGCGCCCGCGTAAGGGAATTCGAACATTCGCCTCTAGGAGAGATGTACAAGTACGAGTAGGTACAAAAGCGGGTGTAGCGCGCACGCGGTGTAAGCGGTAATGGAAAGTGAAGTGAGGCGGCGGTCGGAAAATGGAACCAACTTCCTTACTGCCGGAAATCTATACCAGGCTATGTTTTAAGAAAGATTTTAACCAATTTGCCATCAATTTAAACTCGAAAAAAACATTTTTTTTATTTTAAAATTGAATTTTTAGTGAAATTGCACTTATAACCATAAATAAATTAACCTTACTTAATGCATAAATCAATATCGCAAATATCTGTCCTATTACTCAGCAAATACTGCTAGTAATAAATGTTAACCATCAGATTTCACCATTTTACGATCGAAAACATTATGGGTCACGATGGGACCCTCAATAAAATTTGACGGAATTACTTTGGCACGTAGTGTTCTAATTTGAACCACGCTTGCAACTCACTCATTCCTTTATCCCCGGCTATTTGACTTGAATGGCGTATGCACTCCTGTAATAAAACTGCGATTGCACATTCAGATCCCAGCACCCGATTTTTTCTACCCCGGAATAATACTCGATTTCATGCCGCATTCGAACATATGACGTTGTTACGTTTCATGACGCAAAAGTCAATGTTTACATTCATTTCGGTTCGAACAGAGTGACTGAATTTATCCCGGAGCACAATCCGTTTGAAAAATAAACATTTTAAAAATTTACGCAGAAAAATATTTATTTCTACCTCCAGCACCATCGGCACCTACTTGAGAAACGCAAATTCAATTATTTATTAGAAATGTTTATTCAAAATTGTGCGCATTTGCACAACGCACTTGTTTTTGTCCCGAGGTGGATAATTCGTGGAGTGCTTAATTGAATTGCCAGCGTTTTTTTTTGTTTAGCGTTGCGCGGTTGGGGGCGGCATTACGCCGTGAGTGGCAACCTTAACGTGATTTTTCCATTTCCGTGATTTAGTTAATTCATGTTACTACACAAAGAAAACAACAGCGTGAGCGGTTAAATAACAACGCGGTGTTTTTCATCCGTATCAAAACCTGGAAGTTCATTCTTTTAAATTTATTTATTATTAAAGCAAAAAAAGAAAAAGAATATTACTAATATTAACTAATTCGAGTAGTTTGTTTTGGATCTTATCTATTGAAAGTTTGAACATGCAAAGATTTGCATGCCGCTATCGTTGTCGTGTTGGTTGAATAATTTCGACGAGCTTAACGGCTTCCGAGAAAATGGAAATGATCTAAGTCACGTATTATGCCGAAATTCCCATTGCAAAACAAAATTTAATTAGAGAACTTGTGTGGTACGCTTACCAACCACATGAACTCACATAATGTACATTTTAAAATAACCACAAAAGTATTAAATTTATGATAAACTGGATCCTTAAATATGCTTCCTATATTTGCGATTGCAATATTCGACAGTAAGTATCTTCTAAACTGAAAGAGATAGCAACCAGAAAATTGTAGATTACGAAAGATTGGAAAATTTTCTATCAGATGGAAATTTAAAATTTAATTTAATGGAGTAAAAGGTCTAAAAACGCGACTAAAACTGCAAAAATTTCAATTTTTAATTTTTGACGATTACGGTGCCCTTAACACGGGTCACTTCTACCGCTACCCTCAAGCGGTGCTGTAAACAGGAGTCACTTCTACCGCTGCCCTAGTACGGTACCCTGAACAAGAGTCACTTCTACCGCACACCTCATACGGTGCCCTGAACACGAGTCACTTCTACCGCTGCTCTTGTACGGTACCCTGAATTCGAGTCACTTCTACCGCTACCCTCACCCTGCTACGACAAACCGAATGAGACTCAACTATACAATTGCGATTAATTGCAATGTAACTAAATAAACAAGGAAAAATCAACGTTCCTGACATACTCGATTCACTAAGCGATAATAGTGCATATCTTTTAAACTAAAAGCGATAGCGACCAACGGATTGAAAGTTATGAAAGATTGAAAAATTCTGCATTAGTTAAGAATTTAAAATAATTTAAGTTCGTGGGATGAAAGGACCAAATACGTGACTCAAAGGGCAATTTTTAATTTTTTGCCCTTTTTTAATTGTGAATATCTGCCAATTGTGTCCGATAAATAAAAAACTTTTTTATAAACAACAAATGTAAATTTGACTGAAAAATATAACTGAATTATAAACTTACCAGGTGTGTATCTTATCGGCTTGCCAGGCAAAACGAATGCTGTAACTAAACGAAAACATAAATTAAAACAAAAATATTTCATACAATTGAATTATGTTGTACCTACCTAATAACAATCAACACAAAATAAGTAATATGTGCTGTTTAGTTAAAAATTACTTACACGAGCCTGATGGATCTTTGTTTATGATGAGAATCAACATGGAGACACCAAACACAACGTCGAGTGATGAATGTTATCAAATACCCTATCACGTGACTTGTAATATACATAACAAACGCGATCAAAAACCGGCATTTCCGAACATTTAACAAATTGCTATAGTAGCAAAGTATAAATAAATAGTAGATTGATCTTCGAGTATAACACAAATTTATAATATTGAAGTCCGAATAAACGAGATAAGTCTCTCAAAACACGACTGGATTAACTAGCGATCGGCACGAAACTGGCTGCAATCCACCGATAGTGCATGCCGAAACTGCGTAAGCTACGACGGACAGTATATGATAAGAAAGCAAGAGGTGCGCAAAGACGACACGTCAACGGCACGCGACCTTGTGAGCGAATAGGAATAGGCACATTACGTGTGATCTAAACTAAACTAGACTTCGCTGCATGCAGCAAGTTTATCCGGCGCTAGGGACAGCGCGCGAGATACATGCGTTAAAAACGTTGTTTACACCGAATCGCAGATAACAACATTGCATACAAAACTATTCTAGTGGCCACGATTGTCGATAAATATAAAAATAAGCCGTATAACTTGATTTTATGATTTTAGTGCATCCTAGTGCCATCTATGATTGCGACAAATACTAGTCCCACAATTTAGACTATTATAATCAATAATTAATGTCTCTACGTGTAACTCTCATAATGTAAATTTTAAAATAACCACAAAAGTATTAAATTTATCATTAACTGGATCCTTAAATATGCTTTATATATTTGCGATTGCAATATTCGACAGTAAGTATCTTCTAAACTGAAAGAGATAGCAACCAGAAAATTGTAGATTACGAAAGATTGGAAAATTTTCTATCAGATGGAAATTTAAAATTTAATTTAATGGAGTAAAAGGTCTAAAAACGCGACTAAAACTGCAAAAAATTTCAATTTTTTAATTTTTGACGATTACGGTGCCCTTAACACGGGTCACTTCTACCGCTACCCTCAAGCGGTGCTGTAAACAGGAGTCACTTCTACCGCTGCCCTAGTACGGTACCCTGAACAAGAGTCACTTCTACCGCACACCTCATACGGGGCCCTGAACACGAGTCACTTCTACCGCTGCTCTTGTACGGTACCCTGAATTCGAGTCACTTCTACCGCTACCCTCACCCTGCTACGACAAACCGAATGAGACTCAACTATACAATTGCGATTAATTGCAATATAACTAAATAAACAAGAAAAATCAACTTCCTTGATGTATTCGAGTCAATAAACGATAATAGTGCATATCTTTTAAACTAAAAGCGATAGCAACCAACGGATTGAAAGTTATGAAAGATTGAAATTCTGCATTTGATAAGTATTTAAAGTAATTTAATTTCGTGGGATAAAAGGACCCAAAACGTGACTAAAAGTGCAATTTTTCATTTTTTGCCCCTTTTTGAATTGTGAATATCTGCCAATTGTGTCCGACCGTGCCGGTCGTCTAGTTTGTATCACGGGTATGTAGGTAGTACGTGATAAAAAGAATACTTGTTTATAAACAACAAATGCAAATTTGACCGAAAATTATAATTGAATTATAAACTTACCAGGCACAACGAATGCTGTAACTATACGAAAACATAAATTAAAACAAAAATATTTCATACAATTGAATTATGTTGTAATAACAATCAACACAAAATAAGTAATATGTGCTGTTTAGTTCAAAATTACTTACACGAGCCTGATGGATCTTTGTTTATGATGAGAATCAAAATGGAGACACCAAACACAATGTCGAGTGAAGAATGTTGTCAAATCCACTATCACGTGACTTGTAATATACTCGTACATAACAAACGCGACCAAACACCGGCATTTCCGAACATTTAACAAATTACTATAGTCGCAAAGAACAAATAAATAGTCGATTGATCTGCGAGTATAACACAAATTTAGATTATTGAAATCCGAATAAATGATATAAGTCTCTCTATACACGACTGGATTAACTAGCGATCGGCACGAAACTGGCTGCAATCCACCGATAGTGCATGCCGAAACTGCGTAAGCTACGACGGGACAGTATATGATAAGAAAGCAAGAGGTGCGCAAAGACGACACGTCAACGGCACGCGACCTTGTGAGCGAATAGGAATAGGCACATTACGTGTGATCTAAACTAAACTAGACTTCGCTGCATGCAGCAAGTTTATCCGGCGCTAGGGGACAGCGCGCGAGATACATGCGTTAAAAACGTTGTTTACACCGAATCGCAGATAACAACATTGCATACAAAACTATTCTAGTGGCCACGATTGTCGATAAATATAAAAATAAGCCGTATAACTTGATTTTATGATTTTTAGTGCATCCTAGTGCCATCTATGATTGCGACAAATACTAGTCCCACAATTTAGACTATTATAATCAATAATTAATGTCTCTACGTGTGTATTAATAATTGGTAATCTAAGAAATGAAATTTTAATTTATAAGTAAAAAATAGGCCTAATAATTTATTTCCTCGATTTTTGCAATTGCAATTGCGATGAGTTGTGCTATATTGATAAATCTATACCGGAAGAACGAATGGATTTCCTTGTCGGAAACGGCTGGCTGCTTAATAATGCATAATACCTAAGTGACCGCCATCGCCAGACAGACGTTTCAGAGCCGTATTAGAAAGCGGCAAGTAATAATTCATCTCGCACG